ACTGACTGCTGCACTGGACAGAAGCCCAGCGTAATGCGAACATCAGTCCCCGTTTATTTACACAAATACAAACACTTAGATACTACAAAGGCAGTGAAACAGAAAAAATGTAACAAGCTCTAAAGAAAGTTTTTTGATCGACAATGTAACGACAACGTGTCTGGCTTCCCGTCAGGAAAAACCCCCTTAATAGCTAAGGTGAAAACCTGCGACTTCCGGAAAGAGCCAGACACTTAACAGGAAGCTCGAGGGAGAGAGGTTGAACTAGAATACAAAATTATGAGTACGTCAACGACGAACTAAAATCAATTCAAATCAAACAAAAGGAAAAAAGCATTGAAAAATCAGGCAGCGATGTCAGCTTAGAATAATCGCCTCAGTGAAATCCCGTCCTTTAATACTTGAGTCTCGTGACAGCTGTCAATAAGTTGGAACCGTGAAAACAATAATTTTCTGCTATTCTTAGAACCGCAGCAAATAACAACTTTATATTCCAGATTTCCCGCCTTCGTTACGGCCAAATGAATTTAAAAAGGAGGCTGATTCACAGTGTGAGTGAAAATAAAATTTACTTGAGCAGGCCTTAAAAGGCCTGGGTCATTACAGATTTGAGTGGAAGTGGCTGGTGCCGCAAGAAATTTAGCAGGCGAAACCTGCTCCGGGTCAGATGTACTCGGACCCCGGTGCAAGGCAGAGAAACACTTATTAATTGCGAATCGTAACTAGAATTTCCGGCGGCTGTAGATTGATGAGTACGCTCGGGGTGTACATTTATCAGATCCGCGGTCATTTTTGTAATTAGAGAAGAGAAACGCAATGAACATCAATCTGATTTTTGCCTTACTAACGACCCTGTTTAATTTTCAGCAAGCTGTTCAATACCAGTGTGGATGTAGCCAAACATGTGCGAGACAACCTTCTCCGCAACTTGAAAGACATTATTGCGTGGCAGTCAAACATTATTCCACCAAAATCTGTCCCCTCTCCCCTACAGAACCATACCATGGAGTCCTCCCTCCCAGAATGGCTTCAGGATCACCTTGTCAACAGCCTAAGTTTTTGGAGGAGTGGATTTCGAGTAGCTGACGGCAGGTGAAAATTAAATTCAAATTTAGGATCAGTTATGTAGTAAACCTAGGGGTCTTCTTCCAGCAGAAAATTAATTATTTCTGGAATCTGATTTTTATCATCTTCCTCCAACAGATGGCGGCAGTGGGAGGCATTAGACTGTAATGACGTGGATTCAGTTCATAACGACTTCCAACGAGAGCTTCCTTACTTAATTTTCTTTCCTGAGTTACTTGAAAATGTAGTGAGAGCCTGGGCCAAGTACCAGCACCAGGGAGGGTGGATACAGGAGACTTTGCAGTTTCAATGGGGATGCCACAACCGGACAAACCGGTTTGACACACCGGGTGGTAGAATCATGGCAGATGTTACGCCAGCTTTTCTAGCTCAGGTATTGGGACGTTGTGGAAGGTTGTAAAAAAAGTGAAAACTATTATATATTTTTATCTACTTGGAAAGAGTCCATATAGAGTATTTTCACTCACGTGGCCAGCATCTATGCAAATTTATTAGAACAAAAGAAAACGTTTGCATGAGAAAAGAGTTCAACTGCCACAGGACTGGTTTGGGACGCAACATGGCCGCCGTTTCATTGTTTTGGGACACCAATATGGCCACCGAGACATCATGTGAAAGACTCTATTGTGATTAAAAGAAGGTGGTTATGATTAAAACTCTTTTTGAGCCAGCCATGCAGTACCTCCGCAGGGCGTAAAAGTCATAACACTAGAGAACAATTAGAAGTAATATAATTATTTCTCCATGATGCAGTTTAAAGGAGAGAGATAGAGCAAAAGAAGGAGAAGGAGTTATCTTTCATAAATATTTTTATAGCTCCATCCTTTTTATTCTGTTTCTCTTATCTGCTTGCAGTTTTATCATCTTTATCTTTGGACTGGCGACCACAAGCTTTTACAAGACCTGTGGCCGGTTGCCCGTAAAGCATTGATTTGGCTCATGCGTGACAGTACTGGAGGATCCAGTTTACCATTACGTAAGACTTGTACTTATGACATCATTTACCTTGAGGGATATGACCACACAACCTACAACAGTGTTATGTATCTTCTGGGTTTACGAGTTGGAAAGGTTCTGGCAAATACTCTAGGAGAGAAAAAACTGGCTCACACGATCCAGACGGCTTTTAATGATGGAAAAGCTAAGATGGACGAAACCTTGTGGGACGACAAGGAAGGTTTTTATCATGCATGGTGGGACCATGAGAAAGGTTCACCTGATTGGCTAATGAGTGACTCCTTATATGGGCAGGTAGGCAGACGCTTTGCTTTGTCTATTGATTATTTATTTCACATTAAGACCATGTATGTGTCGTTGAGACGGTGAAGTTTACAGTCTCCACCATATCCATCATCAACCCACGAACATACTCGTGCGCGGGCTGTCATGACCCATGTTATCATTCATGGAAATATTTCGATGTTTCTGATTGGCTCTAATCCCCTGGTCAATTCTTCATAACCATCTGGCACTGACCAAATTTAGATAATGCGAGGGTCCCGGATATATGGATGTGATGGTGATACCAATTCTACGCGTGCTTTAAAACATTTCCGTCCATATAATGGGCATATCTATGCAGATCTCAGAGGGTGCTGTATATCCGCCTCGGTGGAACACCTTCATCGATCTGCATAATTCTTCATATCATTTCGGCAGGTTCTTCATGAAGTACAGGTAAAACGGTGTCTATACAGAAAGAACTTATAGGTTATATTCACCCTCTGCTGAAAACAAGGTTGGGATTGAAAGTCGGGTTATGAGTTTGCTTGTAGGAAATAATAACGCCGGAGGCAGCGTGGCCGAGTGGTCAACGCGTCGGACTCGCAATCCGGTGGTCCCGGGTTCGAGTCCCGCTCTGGCCACTTGCTGGATTTATTCTCGGTTGTCCCGAGTTCAAATCCTCGGCCACGCTTGTAAATAGCCAACTGGTTGCCTCCTGCCAGTTGGGGTTTTAAATCCTGTTATGTTGTACTTGAATTATTTGTTTTCTAAGTATTTACTGATTATAAAGCGCTTTGGATCACTAAGAGAAAGGCGCTATATAAGTGTATATTATCATTATTATTATTATTATTATTATTAACTCTTTTATTTTAGGTTTGGGCGTACGCGTTGGGTCTTGGTAACCTGCTTGATCCTGATAAAATGAAAAGACATTTACGAAAAGAAAAAGAACTTAACGATACACCTTACGGCTTACGAATACTCACTCAAGGTGCCACTGACCGCAAAATGCCAAAGAAAATGCTCAGGATGAATAAACAAAAGAGGAGCAAAAGAAAAATAAACGAGATAGACGCGGTAGCAAACCTGGACAGCTTCTTTACCGAGGTTTCTGGATTACAGAAAAAGACCCACATAGAAGACAAATCGCTGTACATAAAGAACCTGTCCGATAACAAAATTCCGAGAGCCAAAATTACTGTTCAGACACATAACCTAACACGTGGAAATTTAGACGGTGGAACAGCAGAAATGGAAACTCTGGTGAAATCTGTTGAGAGGGAAATAAAAGTATCATTTGGAAATGAAGGGCCAGAGACTGCTAATGCAAACATATCCTCTGACAAGTCGAGGCGCTCAAGTGGCATAAATCAATTCGTTTCGGTAAAACAACAAACTTTGAATCACAAAAATTGCTCTGCTCTCGAGGGGGAGAGCAAGTTCAACTCTATCTGGATGGGCAGTGATTCAGACTGGACAACGCTTAACATTCACTTAGGAATGGACCCTTTTGAATCACTAAAGCAAACGGAAAAAGCGTTGGATCACTACAGAACAAAACTGAACGACCTCTGGAACATTCATGGTTTAACCGCTGGACAAGGCTATGGTCTAGATGGTCAGCCGTGGTGTACGTCTCATTACAGTTTTCATTTGGTCCTATGGCACATCCCACTTGCTCTTTCTGGACAGCGGTATGACGCGGTGCGAAAGCAACTGACGTTTGAACCGAAATTAAGTGTTCCTTATGCTTTGCCCTTTTTCACTCCTATCGCCAGTGGAATTGTTAAAGCAAGGATGTTCAACCGTCGTGTTAAGTATACTGTTATTGTAACCTCCGGCAGACTTGATGTAAAGGTCTTGGCTGTATCAAAGAGTCTACTTCCAAGGGGTAGAACTAAGTTGGGACAAGGGGGATATGTAAGTTGGGAAAGACAATGATTTTGTTATTTAGTCTCTACTGCAAGTCTTTTTGTAAAAAAAAATCAATACAAGGGAAACTGAGAGAGAAGGGAGAAAATATGGCAGGAAAGTGAAATACGTCATCTAGTAGTGAGCAAAGACATCGGTGACGGAAAACTTTGTCACTTGAAAATTATAAACTTTGCACTATGAGACTTATCTGAGTTATCCGAGGTGAGTCCATACTATCAAGGAGTGTTAAAACTCAGCATCATCACCTAAAACATACTCCTGTAATATCTGTTTACTGGTTTTATGCCTTAGTTATTTTCTTGATTATTGCACTTATATAACATGTCTTATGTTGGCAATATGACCACGCTCTATAAGGACGTTTCGCCGTCAAAGTCGCCGCCTTGTCGTAAAAAAACCATTGCATGTACCCTGTTGTAATGCGTCCACACGAGCAGCTCATGATAATGTACGCTTTTCTCGAGAGCATTCTGAATTTGCAATTTTTAATTCCTTTGGTCTCAACCCTCAAGGTTAGCGTTTCAAGTGACAATGATTTCAGTTTTATTCCTTATAAAACGGAGCTACCAAATTCCCACCTGAGCCTAAACCCACTAAAACCTTCCTCGCTATTAATCTAAGTACATCACTCTGCATAGTTACGGGATGAGAAAGACCTGGTTATTTTTTGGATAAATGTTTGGAGAAGTTATCAAGAGAGTTTCTCTGTTTCCCATAAAACAAATTGTAAAGAGATGATCTAGGCAATTAATGCATATTCATTGTCTTTATTTATTGATAATGCTTGTACATTTACGTTGATCATACACAATAAAGTGAATTTGGACCTCCAATGTCAACTTCTACCATAACATAAATTTTTCTAATTAAAAACTACCTAAAATAATATTTACATTCCTAAAAATATAAATTCTATTTCTTGATTTTTTAGAAAAATATATCGTCTGAGCTTAATAAGAAATCACTCAGACTGATAAGCCTGAGAAAAACTTTACAAATCAAGGTGTCGAAGAGAGTAGATGGACGTTATTGCCAAAAACCACGAGCTAATAACGTTTCTATTAATAACAATATTTTTACTAGAAAAATTACAGATAAGTATTTTAGATAAAAAATAAAAACTTGTCCTTTATATATGCCTGTACTTATGTGACACATTATTTTACTTTGCTCAAATCCCTAAGAAGGCTAGAATGTCATGATACTGCAAATAAATTGACGCGAGTCTTGTTTCTTTGGGAAAATCGACATCCAGATACACATAAAAAAATATAGGAATTGAGTAACTCCACAGAAACGATACTTCTTGTAAAAGAATAAGGCATGCAACTTCCGCTCATTGCTCTCTTTGAATCTCGTGATTTCTAAAGAGGGATTCGAAACACCACATATTCCTTTAGAAGTAGGATGCTGTGTAAAATTTTCCAACACAAGACATGTGATTTTTTCCTTCAACAGCCAATGAGAGCAAACCCCAAAATCTGTAGTCCACTACCCATGTTTAAAAAACCATTGCATGCATGCCGTGGTTGACAAGGCGTACTTAACATGATTTGCATGGAAAAACCCAACCTCGCTCCAATGGCTGCCTTTTGAGGCAATCCAATCACATCCACTCTTTCTAGTCTCTTCAGCTCATTTGGATATGCTCTGTAACGGGTCGTTCTCCTACCGCATCAAATTTTCTGGTTTTATGTTTAAGCACCAGATATCCACCAGGCGCCAGGAATAGTTTGGGTGAATGGTAAGCACCCAAGTTTTATAAACATCTACGTAATGAAAAATTTAAAAAGGGGAATTTTAAGCCCTTCTAAAAATTTGGAGATTAAACATCAAGCTTATGCCCCAAGGTTGCTGATTCTTTTAATAACAAAAAAGCGCTATAATTGGCGAATGGACCGCGTTTGAAAACTGTCAACCTTCCATAACTAGCTCTATTTACACAAATATCCTACAAATTCTCTGTGTGCCTGCACACAAGCCCAGGTAGTTTTCAACCCGGCGCACCGAAGTTTCGCTGAAGTTCCCTAAGCAGTGACTAATAACGGATCACTCATGACAAGTGTCCGTGTCTCCAAAGTTTCTCTCCCGCAAAGAACCCACTTGTAGCAGCCAGCTGCTCAAAGTTCAGTTGTAGCTTCAGTCATAGAAAACCGCCTAAGAAAAGAGCCAGGAGGAAACGCAACTTTCGGACCGCCATTGCGTACAAGTTGATCTGTGCTGCCCGTGGTGGAGTTCGTAGGTGACTGGCTTAATACAATCCCATCAATGTCACCTTCGTCGTCAGACCGATATACCTCCGTATTATCCTTATGTTTGACGAACCCATCTCCGTAAATCACGGAGGCGTCTGCGATCTCATAGTCGGTGTTTCCTTCATCGGAGTCTGAATCGGGCGGTGCTGGAGGTGGTCCGGTAGGTGGAGGTGGAAAGAACATGTTCTGGTCTATATCATCATATTCATCTGGGTCTTGCTCCTTCATCGCCGCCATTCTCGCGGCGTATCCAAAATTCACAAAATCCTTGATGTCCTTTTGAGAGCTTGTGTCACTTCCCTCAAGTGAGCTGCCGTCCTCAGCAGGTATGTGAACTATCACCTCTTGTGCTTCCTAAAACAAAAAAAAGAACGTGAAAATCAGAATTGGTAATTGTTATGTTTGAACTGAGTATGTATGTTACCTGAGCTCTTTCCACTTGGTTTGTTGCCATGGCACTATGATCAGGGTCGATGCTAAAGACAAGAAACACATCAGAGATTTTAGGTTAGACAAGGACGAGCTTTTTTAGTGAGCATCAAACAAGAATACCGAAGGTGGGAGAACACATTTTTGTATATCGTAATAATGGAAAATTTGACTACACATCTCGGCAGCATGGCGGGCTAGTATCTCAAGCATGCGCAGTGTACACATCTAGGCAACATGGCGGGCCAACGCCTCAAGCATGCGCAATGTACACATCTGGGCAGCATGGCGGGCCAGTACCTCAAGCATGCGCGGTGTTCTAGTATGATGGCTAATTCATGAACATGACCTGACAGCTGTTCGAAGCTGTCATCTGTCATGGCCAGGAGGTCTCTAATTGAACGCAGATCCGACTTTTTAACTCTGTGAGGTATTGGACATTACTTAAATTATCATTACATCCATAGAGAGGGGAAAAACACGATTGCCAACTTAACTGCGTACGGTGTACTTTGTGTCCGAATTACTATTACCTAGTCCTACCTTTTCCATAAACAAAAGAAAAACAACGCCAAACATTATCTCCGTGGGTGTTGCCACGTGACGTTAATTTACTACCTTATAAAAAAGCAAACACAGATGAACAATAAATAAGGCACCCTTTAGGCTGGATATTCCCTTGGGAGGTGAGTCATTGACTGGACATACTATAGGTACCACATTTCAGTTCATTCATTGGAGATCCCATGACCCTTTCCTTCCTACCCAAGTTAACATTAAGCGCACGGACGTAGATTTATGAACTTACTAAAATGGGCTGTCGTTAAACGTCACTCGGGGATGCCTCTTTTTCTTAAAAGGACTTTGGCCTCTTTTCTTTCTCCTGCAAAATAGCAACAGGGAATTATTTGTCAGCGGTGTGATAGTTCTGGACATGTAGTGAATTGTTGTGCAAATGCGCCAAGAACGTATCAATGTGGGTGAGACGATTGACGGAAGCCTATTTAGAAAAAAGTTCCCGTTTATTGCCTCTTAAAAATCGGTCAAGGAACTAAAAGTAAGCATAAAAGAGGTTCCTAAAACAATTTAGTAGTTCAATTCCCAACAATCTCGACCTTACCTGCTTTTAAAGTGTCCAATATATCAATTCCATTTTCGAAAAATTGCATTAACCTTATTTTAGGACCAAACTGAGGCCCGAAGGGCCAAAAATTTTTTTTTTTTGAGACCCCCCTTCCCCCCGACTTTTCTCGGGGTATGGATGACCCCCCACCCCCCCCTCCTTATGTGAAGGCCTGGATCCGCCACATGCATACATACACTGCTGAAGTATAGCCTCTGAATTTGTGTTACATTGGACTACTAATATATGGGAACATTCCATAACACAAATATTCACTAACCGCATTAGCACAATGAGCATGATTATTGCCCCAACGCCAATAATAACACCCAGGCATATCAATGCTCCAGCCACCGCTGACAGCCCATCCTCATTTTCTGTGCGAGCCTCAATAGCAGAAGGCTCGGGGGACTGGTAACCTTGGATATTCCACTGTTTATAGGTAGTGTCCAAAATTTCCTTATTGTCTGAAAAGGATCTGAAGAAATATGAGGGAAATGATTTAGAATCAATTTATTTCAACTGGGAGACGATTGCACTCATCAAAATATACCGGCAATTTCATTAAAGGCACACTGGAAACCTGGAAGCCAAACATTCCAACGCAGAGGGAGCCTTCGTTTCAGTCTAGCACTTAGAAATAGGAGAAGTGCTAAACTCCACTGGGATGAAAGTTATCCATTCTAGGCCGTTTACGCGAGGATAGTAAGCAGTATCCATTTACACGACTAAGTGGAGAGAATCACTGAGAGAAAATTTACTTTTCCAACGAAACAACACAAATAAACGGTTATAATCGAAGCCCAGCCTTAAGCGAAAAGCCATAGTAATCAGCATAATCCCTTGGTAAGCATCCATCGATCCCGGAGATCCGTGGAGTAGTGCCGATGAGGTTCATATTTAAGAACAGTGTTTTCTGTCGCTGTGAAAACCAAGATAGGAATAAGAGACTCTTTCACAGTTTGGACAGGCCAGAGGACAATCTGAAACTGAACTGAAAGTCAGGAGGCCTGCTCTCCTTTTACTCCTTCTTTCCTCTGTTTGGTTAGCAACGTGTCCCCCAAACTTGTTAATTCCTATACTTTTAGTCCGGGAATTTTCCCAAGCTATCCTGACAAAATCTTTCCACACGGCCCAAATTGGTTGAAAATAGGAGCCAAGTTTTTTGATTCATAATTTATATAGAGTCTATATAGGATAATTACATTACGTGCACCCGCAGGAGTTTGCATACTACCTTATGACTTCATCGCCTGTCATCGCTCGGTTACCACTGACCACGTGGAAGGTCACCAATGTTCTAGAACAGTTCAAAAAAGTAGTAAAAAACTCGTGTCATGATAAGAGCAAGGCGAAAGACCTGCAGGACCTTCAACCTAAGCCGATTATACAGGCCACTTGAAACGTGTAAATTGTAACTTGCAACTTGTAACTCGCACTTTGTCTTGAAATTTTTCATGCATGATGATGCTGCAATGCATGTAGTGCCATTTGAAACATAAGAATTATCTATGTGTTTTATAACTTGCAACCTGTAACTCGCGATGCAATGCAAGTTGGCGTTTGAGGTTAGATTATGTTCTGGAAAGAGCCGAATTATCTTCGTTATTTCTTTGTATTATTTATCGGGTTTTTCTAGCTCTTAACAGTGGATCACATCGTAGCTAGACAAGTCGTGCAAACTTTTCTTAATTGCTAGATCAAGTTTAACTGCTTGTGAACAGAGTTGTTCCAAAAGTCACAGAGAAATTTCTGGGTGATCAATATATTTAATATATCAGTACCTTAAAGAGACTCAAGATCTTATTTGTAGTAAATACTCACACATTGTTTCCATTTTCTTGCTGTAAATACTTAATAAATGGCTTTCCTCCAGTTATAGCTTCAAGCATCCTACCAGTCAAGTAACAAATGGAAGTAAACGAAATGCGTATATAAATGGCGTCACTGCTAGACCTTAATAAACCGAGTAAAACTTGAAAGGGTATGATTCTTGTGAAAAGGCCAAATCCGACAAAATATGGAACTAGAGTTCGTAGACAGAAGAAAAGAACAGTCTCTTTGGAGATATACAACAAAATGCAGTTCTTAAATCCTTTTGCTCTACTCACTCTCTCATATTCTACCCTATTAAGACTCAGGTTTCTTCGCTTGTAAATAATTACTTGAATACTGAAGCTGCGCAAATGAAACTTTGCAGTCATTTTTCGATCCATCATCTTGGATGCTTATTTTCACAGAAAAGTGCCAAACTGAATGGTACGTGGATGAAAATCAGTAGCAAGACTCTGACATTATCTTATTTAAAACATTAATAGCAAAAAAAAACCGTTATCCTATAAAATAAATAAAAGAATTTCACGGACACCTCGCTCACTCGAAACGTCATTAATTTTGCTTGGTATTAGCCAAATTGTCAACGTTTGAGCCATCTTCCTACTAGGTGCTGGCCTCTCAAATGGACCCTTGAATACTACCTAGAAAACCACTAATAAACACTTTATAGTGCTTTGATTTTCTAATTTCTCTTACCACAGAAATTCTATTCTTTTGTTGGTTATCGCTTGCACAGTTACACCAGCCTTCAAAATGACAGCATCCTGATCTCGGAGAACAAATATCTATAGGAAAGTAGCATAAAAACCCGGCAAATAACAGTTAGCCTACCTTTGGTTTGAAAAAACCGGAGATCAGAAAAGCAATACACTGTGGAACCCCGTTAATGGACCCCGTTGGGCCATAATAAAATCTGGTCGTAATAACTAGATGGTCAATTTAACGGGGTGATCGTAAGGCGGGGTTCCACTGTGACATCATTTAGGACTTCCAGTTGTGTATCATGAGAAAGTGTCTGCGCTGAAAATTACTTTCTTGAGGAGGGACAGGCATTTGTTATTTATTTATCATGTTATAAAATGAAGTTACCAAACAATACATATTTACAACAACGGATCGAACATACAACTTTTAAATACACATGACAGTTCAATCTCGTTCCCAAGGCTCTCTCCTCTACTCGTCCACCGAAGCGAGGGAATGGTGAGGAGGGACAGGAGAAGGAGAACCCTGGGAAGGAATGTTGAAGAACTTACGTCCACTACAGCGTTATCTGTCGTTAATTTTTCCCCATCCGATGCGCTAACTTGTAATGTGAACTTTGACCCTTCTTTATCAGCTAATGAGGAGGTAACTCTCACGTGACCGGTATTTGGTTCCACGTGAAAAAGCTCTATGCCAACCCCACTGACAACTTGATAGGAAATGTTAGAGTTGAAATCAGAATCTACATCAGATGCCTGAAGAAACAGATGAATGAGTTATTTTATTACGAATAAAGGAAAGGGTCCGGGAGAAAGAAGAAAGTTAAAATTTTATTTTCTATAATTAATAATAAAAAAGCCAAAGAAGGGAGCAGTTGCTTGGTAAAACTTCGCGGTTTGGAAGTTTTGTTCATGGAATCAAAGGTGAATGTATGAGTTATTTGTCTTTCAGTGGTGGGAGGTTGAAACTATCATCAATGACTTTACTACGAGTATGAGACCGAGGATGTTCTGAAAATCAGCGTTAAAACTGTGAAAGGTTACCTTGACAGTCGCCACAAGCGAATAGTACGTCGTTTCTTTGTAAACACCTGGAATTAAAATTTTAGAGATAACACGAATAAATAAATAAACATAGCAGGCAATAATGCATCATGGTCACCCACGAGATAATCTGCCTCCTTAATCTGTTTCCACCAGCCGGTTTCAAGCAATAATTGAGCTGTTGTCTGATTTAATATATACTTTGCCACGGTTTCAAACCCTGGTCAGAGCAATAATCACAGACAACGCTGAGGAGATAGTGCAGCCAGGGTAATGGTAGAAAGACTTTCTTGCCTTCTCGGATAAACCGTAGGCCACGTGACTCAGAGCCCTTGCTCTTGCAAAAAATCTTTGGGATGTAAAAGAACTCACACACGCGCTGTTCGCAAAGATTAGGGGAGGTAGAAGCTAGCGGCTTGGTCTATCATTCCTGTGTGTGTGTGTGTATATTTGTCTGTATTGCTTGAGCAGATCCACATCAGCTCGCCCTTTTATAACTTGCTTTATCAAACAAACGATGATGATGTTGATGATGATAATCATAAGGATGATGCCACACTATCAATTGTTATCACTGGTTTTACCGATGGATGTTTCATGCTGGTTTCTTCACTAGGAGGTGATTTGTGTTAACATCACTGTCACTACCACTGTAAAATACTGATTTTATTCTTGTTGTTTTCGTATATTAGGAATCTCCTACCTCCTATGTAGGATAAAGGTAATATCACTGGAGAGTGCTCGTTTTTATCGGTAATGCTCACAATAACAAAACCAATATCAGTACGGGGATGTTGTCCTCCATCCTGCGCCTTGATAACGAGCTAAAACACAGCAAAAAAAGAAGAAAAAAAAAACTGTTACTGGCATGGAATGTTCATAAAACAGACATCAAAGGAAAAATAGAGCCTGTATATAAATCCAATCCCCGGCTACGACTTTTTGAACCAAATCAACAAACAAAAGCATAGTTTGCTCGTGCTGGTTTGAACATAACTGAGTCGAACCTGACTGCCGGTTCATCTGCGGGTTATTTTTTTTTACCATAAGAATTGTCTTCCTGTACAATTGCAAAGAATTCTTGATGACACATTTTCTTTCTTAGATCACGCACGTCAATTTAAATTCATGTCTTGATTATTACAAAGTCGAGGCAACACTTTCCTTTGCTTTGAGTGGAAAAATACTGCTTACCATATACTCCTTTACTCCGGTGTCTCTGTCAAACTCTCCACTTGTGGTTATGACGCCTGTAGTATTATCGATGGAAAATTTGTTGGTCTCGCCCTCTACAATGTGATAAGTTATTTGCGCATTTGAGGTTGCATCGGAATCTGTAGCATTACACTGAGCGACAAACGAACCAAGTGAAGTATCCTGAAATAATAAAAGGGAGGAAACCTCAATGAATTGTTATTTACTCCTTAGGCGCCCCAACAGTGATCAAAGAAAACATTCCCGGCAAATTTAATTTCGTAAAATCGTGAAGGACAAATAGTACCACGTGAAAGTGTGAAAAAAGAAGCTACATACTCAAAAAGGTTTATTTGAATAGTCAACCTAAGAGATCTCTACAACAAATTGAGAAGTTACGTTCAATTTTCTCCGCTCTCTCAAGTTTGGTGGTCTTTGTTCCTGCCCGAGGTGAGGGTGGAGAGAAGCGGGCGAATTTTCCGGACAAAAGAAAACCGTGGACGAAAATTCTGCTGGTCGTCATCGTGTGATCTCATAAAAAGAGATCTAATCAGCTAAACAAATTGAAAAAACGACGAGAAGTCCAAAGACTACTGCAAAGCTGCTGATAACGTGTGTTTTTCAGCCAAGATAATGTTTAAAAAAGCTATAAATACACATTGTCATCAGGCTTGCAATAGTCTTTGGACTGTTCATTTCCCGGTAACGGAGTTCACCAAAGAGGCAACTCTACGTAAGATTGCTCTATAACTCACTCTGGTGGTAGTGGAATTAAGATGGCTCTGATTCAAAAAGTCGAAAAGTTGTATCATCCTTGGTAGACACAACGATAAATCAATTAACATACTATTCATATGGATGGGTTCGATCAAGAACTTAATCAAACGTTTTAAACAGTGGAAAAAATTTATTGCAGCTTAAGAGGTTTTAGTTTATATATCTTACATTTAGCCAATTTTACATACGCCAAAAATACAAAACCAACAACGATTATCAATGGTAGTCAAATAAAAGATCTCACCTCTACAAGAGAAACACGCAAACTCCTCGGCTGAAACATCGGAGAGTTATCATTAACATCGATCACATGAACAGTGATGTTAGTGAAGGTTTGACTAGGAGGCTCCCCTAGATCTGAAGCTGATATGTTGAGTACATACTGGACAGCGGTCTCAAAATCAAGCTGTCTGGACAGTGCTAATATTCCTGACTTGTTATTGAGAACAAAGAAACCTAGTGGACAAATACAGCAGTAAAAACTGAAATGAAGAATGAAAAGGCATCGACTTCATTCTTGAGGACATTTTACTACGGCCGAGTACATAGTGACACACTGTTTCTACTTGGACAAGACCCTTCGTCAGGTCAGGTTCTGTTTAGTTGATTCAAATTGAAGTGGTCTTCATTACTTATAGAAGTCGACTTACATTATATCGCATTGTTTAGGCTTCAACGTTCATAAGTAATTTATAAGAATAGTGCAAAGGAAGGAAATGGTTAAATAATGAGGATCTATAATTTTACAAAACATGGCTGAAAAATTACTTTTCATTTTCTCGGGCAAAAAAATCATAAAAAGAATATGTAAAGAACGAACAGATCTAATGAACATTTTTGAGGCCGATTTAGAAGCTCGTTCTTAGTAAAACAATTGAACTCTAACGGCTTAAAAGTGTTCTGTCGGAGCTTATAGACCGACAATATAAAGAGAGATCTTAAGAATCTATAAGTTGGAAATCTTTTAAAATAGCTCTAGCAAGTGATTACAAAACGTCTCCCTCTTAACAAAGTGGACATCTAGGGTTGTCCTCTAGGCTGTCAAACAGCAAGTATTTTTGCGTAGGTAATCAAGAACACTAGCCCGGTCAGAAGTTGCACGGGTGCTTAGAAAAAACCTATCACGCAGGGTACCTATTTCCTACCGTTCTTCAATCATTTTCTTTGACTCTTTATTTTGATAATTTCGGAGGTTTCAAGTGAGGAGACTGTACGGCGTTGGGTGGAATTCCACGATGGAACCCCATGGGACTGTCTTGGGAACACTGCGCTGATATGGCTGTGCGCATGCGTGAGGTACAGGCCAGGCTTGGTGTTCGTGTGCCCATGGCTTTAAGTTTGTCACAAAGTTTTGCAGGTACTGGCTTAAAACATTCCCATAGCGCAACAGGACTTAAATCTGACCCAGTCTTACAAACAACTTCAAAATAGCAATGTCGAGCAAACTACTTTAAGGTGGACACTGAGTGCTAGCGGGTGCCAACAATTTCCAAAATCTTACAAGTAAAGAGGGAGTTGTATTTTCTTTTACCTTGTTCATTTCCGCTTATTATCTCGTACAAAACTGTTCCATTCAGCCCAGCATCACGGTCAGTTGCTGTTAACGTAAGAATATCGGTCCCCGCTGAGGTATCTTCTCTCACGTTCACAGAAGCTTGGCCGTGGAACTCGGGCGTGTTATCGTTTGTGTCCAACACGCTGACGACAATCTAAGAAATTAACAAAAAAACGAAGCGAATGACCAAAAGAGTAAAACGGAGAAAATCAGCCAATTCTTATCTTTAAAAAGTCGGCAAAATTACTTTTTGATTTCTTATGTAGGGATCGAAGCACTATTGAACGTCTCGAAATTTATAAACGTTTTTTTTAAAGCGTTTTTTTTTTCTTTTTAAATGTTCTGACGCTATTAAAACGCTCAATAGATAATAAAAAAATAAGGATAATGATAATAATAAAAATAGTAATAATAATAATAATAATAATAATAATAATAATGATAATGACTGAATAGAGATGATGATGATGATGATCAGGATTATAAATGCCTCGGCGGAAACTGTAGCCTCGGCGAAAGCTCAGGCTTTCACTAGGAAGCGGCTGCAACAAGAAGCCTGTGGTACGGATCTTCTGCAAACTGAAGCGCGAGCTAGCGCTCCATCGGCGCTCCGACTCTAGCAGCAGCCACAGCCCTGAGCAGAAAAGCGTGTCATAAAGCTCTCATTAAAGAGATGTTAATGATCTCGTTAAATGAGGAAATGTTAGTTTCCCGGCCCCAGGTAAGGATCACGCTTGAAAATATGCAGACCCTTTCCTTTGAAACATTTTGTTCAATTAAGTTGAAAAACGCGCGACCACATGGAGATCATTTTAGGAGAAGTTGAAAATGAAGTTGATGAAACATACCCTTGCAAATCCTCTGTTAATTCCATTACTAAGAAGCTCGATAATCACAATATGCTGAGCGCGCTGTTCTCTATCCAATGCCTGAGATCCAACTCTGAGTTCCTTTGATGTCTGGTTTATGCTGAACTTATTTATCTCATCACCTTGAACAATCTCGAACACTGGATCTGACACGTTAAAGTATTGCTCCACAGACTGCAATATAATAAGAAAATAGTCGAGTAACTGATTGGGTCGAGGAATGAAATACACATTTTCAAAGTTCAGTTTGGTGCTCAAGAAGAAACCATACCTCTAAGTCATAGATTACAGTGTTTGCTTTGTTCTCCTGGACCGAGACTTCAAATGTTCGGTTAGGCATCGCGCCTGCATGGATTACGACCAGCGCAAATGCAGGAGAATGAGTCGTTGTTTTGGCCTACGAGACGCAAAATAAAAACAAGTTAATTCTCAACGGTGACGGATTAAGATCTTTAAGTAAGTGAGTGGGAAGCATTTATCTAGTCCCTAAATATTTTTTCCTGGCCTTAAAGATAAGAATTGAAAGTTTAACCATATTACAAGCTTTAAAAAACAAATGATGCACTCTAAAAATTGACAAACCAAGCAAGCTATGCCATGGAAAACTCGGATTTTTTCATGACAGAGATTTAGAGTGACTTTCAGACAGTAAACGTCAGCTTCAGGTTTATAGTTCCTAAAATTACGGAACGAAGGGATAAAAACTGTCAGAAAAATCGGCGAGAAATTATTTGTGTAGATATAATGAACATAAAGTCGGTTCGGTAAGGTGCTACAAATTGACGTTTGCTGTTTGTCACAAACATGATTCTAAATGTTTTCCTTTAGATGAATTAATTAATTGATTGATTAATTAATCGATTAATTTATGAAAGCTTATTATTCCAATTATTCTTACTTACAGTTACAATCAGGCGATAAGAGGTTCGCGTGAGGTTTTTATTCACTGTAATTATTCCTGTCAAATTATTGATTAAGAACGACTGTTCGGGATCACTTGCTGCAAGATAACACAGGAAAAAAGTTTCTTCAAATAAATAACCAGCGATTGTAACATAAACTGGAAGGAAGATCGTGATTTCGTAAAGACCTAGGCGCTGTTCCTATCGGCGCATGGATGGTAGCTCCAATGCTAGGGGCAGGGCATAGGGGGTCTTATTACCTGGGGCAAGTCTCTCAAATGTCCCTATAATTAACAGGCCTGGGAAGTTGGTATTGTTTAGATTCAAAATCGAGGTTTCAGTAGTTTTACAATTAACATGACAAACTATCAGTTAAAAAAAATGTACTAGTTTAGCTAGGACCCGCACTTTTATTCTTCAGATTTTATTGCAAACTTGCGAACAACACAAAAATCATACGGACCAACCTGGGTAGATTTCGTAAGAGACAGGCGCCTTCTCTGTGTCTAGATCCTCAGCATGCACTTTGACTACTTCAAGCCCCTTGGGAAATAATAGATATCAAGAAAATTAAGTATAATGCCATTATATTTCCCCTGTTTCAGGAGATTCACCACCAAGTCAAGGATAACAAGTGTTTCGATACAGTTTTTGGGAGACCATACCGATGTTTTTCAATCACTTCAAAAGTGATATTATCCTTGTCCGATGGCTACAAAAATTTCACCAGTGATTGACTATGAATTAAAGTTTGTCAAAATGCAGTTTTTAGTAAAATCAATATCACCATGACAACAATAAACAAAAAATTTGAAACCGAGACAAATGAATTTTATTGCATAATTTGAATGTAAAACATTGACAACATTCACATTGAAATGTACTAGCTATGGATGTATGTATGCTGGGCATTGATTTGGAAAAATTAGCATAACGTCAAAACAGTGAATATTGTAACGCGGATTTTTGGCCGGTTCGAAGGCTAGGTTTGTCTTGAAATTTCAAGGTGTTATAGTAAATCAATCTTAAAGAAAGTTTCAGATATTATTATGTTCATCATGAAGATTATGTGATGAAGTTTAAAAAGAATTCTGTCGACCGTTTCAGAGATACAGAATTTTTTTACTTCTCACGGAGGGTATTTGCTAAACATCACACTGTAAGTTCCTGGTGTCGGATTTTCAGTAGCAGGTCCCGATCGCGCAAAATCCTGATTTCATCGATTTCAAAGTTTTTTGTTTTTTGGTTATCATAGTCATACCGATTTTACTAAAACCTGCTCAGCATTTTGAAAAACTTCAATTCATAGTCAATCACTCGTGAAAAGTTTGAAGCGATCGGATAAGGACAAAATCACTTTCAAGGCGATTGAAAAACATCGGTATGGTTCCCGAAAAACGATATCCGTTCGAAACACCTTATTAAGGACACTAAGGAGGCCATAGGAAGTGTCCGTATGAAGCGGTTTGAATTTCTAGCAAATGTTAGCGTTAGGGATAAGGAAAACTGTCCGTAATAAGGGGTGAGCGGGTGTCAGTAAGGCGAGATTCGACTGTATGATCTAATTTGTCACAGACAATCATGGTACTGAGTTTTAGCCTTAAAATTCTGTTCATTTCTATCAGAAACCCACAATAAAACTTTAAAAATCATGCTTTTTTATGTCTACCTCTTTTTCTAAGTTTTCTAACCATGTTCCGTGGACTGAATTGAAATCAAGAAGTGCATAAACTTAACTTTTTTTAACAACTAAACTTTAAAGTTGCATTGATTCTGAAGCCCCTACCTCAGGCGTGTTGACGTCCGCTAAAACTTCATATAAATACTTTGAAAATCTTGCTGGCAAGTCATCTCCATCAGTAACCGTAATGGTTACTATCGTCCAGTTTTGATTGCCGTCTCCATATGTATCCTACAAATGTAATAGCAAGACCTATTGTCCAGGAGATAACAATTCTGAAGGAATAATACTTTAGTTTCAGTAATACATTAATTAATTAGCTAATTATAAACTTTATCTTTTTTAAGATTGGTCTAAAGTTCAATTTCATATTCGTCACAGTTATTCACACTATTATCATTTGTTTGAATCAAATGTCACACTTAGCTTGCGAGCACTGCAAAGTAAGAAAATAACTATACGTCATTGGCCAGAGTCTCACTGACACCTTTCTCGTCGATTAGCGATTGGTCATTAGTTACTTGCGGAAGTGCTGGTAAATTTAAGGGAAGGCCATTTTTTTGGGGGGGACCAAATTTGAGGAAGGCTAACATTTTTAATGATTTAGTTTATTAGTTTTAGTCACTCCCTGATCTTGCGAAAAGTGTGCGCGCCGGTCAGTTTTTTTTTTTTACAGTATTCTGTATTTTTGCATTTATTTTCCCATACAGATAAATTACTTGATTACAATTACAAAAAAGATACAAAAACGTAGAAATTAATGCTGAGGAGGCCTAAAGGAAACTATAAAGTTTATGTTGATTAGGCCTCCTCAATTTCAATTTTTCAAAAATGAAATAAAAATTACGGTTACGGACGCAGTTATTATCAAAAGAAAACTACAAATGTTGAATATTAAACACTTTTTCCAACATTTTATTCAAAATGTAATAATTATTATTACAAATAAATGCCTAAGTGCTTTTTTAAAGGAGAAAGGAAAGGAGTTGACGATGTGGGTGTTTAAGGTGTTATAATATTTAAAAGGTCCTTGATAAAAGATGAAAGGGGGGAAATTGTTTGATTCGAGTACGACAGAAAGTTAATCGAATTATCCATAAGAGTTTCGCGTATTATACGAATGGCCATGTTTAGTATATTAGAATGTTTCAGTTCAACTTACCGTTGCTGTTACGTTCAGATAGTAAATTTTATTTGAGCTTTCAAAATCTAGCTGCTTTTTTAAAGATATCTGTCCGTTTGTAGGGTCGATTTCAAACGCCTCGCCCTGTAAGATAGAAACGTAATGTAAGACTTTCAGAATAAACATCAGGAGAACGACGCACTGATTAAATAGCATGCAACAAACTCTGCGGTGAGTAGAGACGTTGCGAAAATAAGACGCCCAGTCTCCGCCCGTTTTTGGCATCAGTTTTTCACGATCCCTGCACATTACTTTCTGGAACCTGGAACAGGCTGTAATTAGAGAGATCAATGTAAAAGGACTGTGCGGATGTTCAGAAAAAGAAATTTTCAAAAAAAGAACTGATTGCTATTAGAGGCAACTCTGTTCATATTACCAAGTTGCCTGCGAGTGGAAGCCGGGGAAACATTTCAAATGACTTGCTCCCCAAAAACAATTCACATCGCGCTGTAGAACTGATGCTCTCTAAGAGCTACAACCCATCCCGGTTTAATTAGCAACCTGCCTGAAACTGAAACTTTAACAGTAAACTGCAGCCTATTTTTTAATATTTTCCAGGAAATCCATGATAGTCGGCAGTTAAGCTAGTATTTCCCTCTCCCTGCTTCCTACCGAATACCACAGGCTGCTCGCTACTTTAGGATTTATTTGTCTCTTAACTTACCGTATTTCCTCCAGCAATCCCATAAGACACGACACCAAAGTGATTATCCGTGTCTCTGTCACTGGCTGACACGGTTAACACTACTTCTCCAAGTTTTGTAATCTGAAATTTAGCAAAAGAAATAATACCTTTCAGCGTGTTTCAGCTACGCTTTTGCCCGCCTCTCAGATGACAGGGGTATCGCGAAAACAAGCCAAGCGAAATAAGACGCGCATGATCTGGGCAGCGGGAGTTGGCGGGAGTTAAAGAAGGAGACCGCCTCCTCTCTCTCCATCCTCCCTTCAATTTTCTTGCCGTAGGAATATTTAGGAGTAGGGATAGAAGTCACTGAGTATGGACATACAAATCAACAACAACAGCAGCAAAGTAGCAGAAACACTAGAGGCAGGGCAGACAGAGATTATATGTATTTACATAATATTATCTACATCGTTCTATTCATACACATATAAGATAACTGATGGTTGGAAGAGAAAAAAGTAAAAAAAAAAAAGCCAGTAGTTTCCGATCAAGAAATCGGAGCTTAACAATAACGTCTGCACAGTAGCTGAATTAACACCCGCATACAAGTAGTTACAAATAGATGAGAGAAAAAGTAGAACCCATGAAATATTTAAACTTCGTAAGGAATTCCAGAGTAGCTTCGGTTGTGATCTGGGTAGGTGTGACCTAGTTGTCCTTAGATAAGCTGCAACTATTGTAAGATTAAGCGCAAATTAGAGTTTCGTCGCTCATTTTGCGATTCAAACAGTCGCACAAAAAAATCGACTTAATATAGAAGGAAGCAACATTCCTAAAATGATTAAATCTGAAAAAAATAGTAACCTCGCGTCTGCTTACCTCGGAAACATTGACGTCATAAGGTGAGTTTTCAAACTGAGGATAATTGTCATTAACGTCTAAAACAGTGACAAAAATTTGCTTTGTACCCTGTGGAAAACACGACAATAGTCCAAATTATAAGTGTCATCTTTGTTATTTGCATTCAAAACTGAAATTGAAAACAAATTTTTATTGGGCAAGTAACACGCTGATATCCTTTACGGCAAAGATAAACAATAAATGACCTTCAGTTAAACATCTCTATTAAGAAAAGATTTAGATGATATTTACAAATTTGGTGGGGTCTGCTTTTATGGGCCAACAATCTGAGTTTTCGTAAGCACTGTATTACTGTGTTCATTCCTAATGAACTGAAACCCATGCATGAAATAAAATACTTTAGAATCTGCTTTGGTGGTGAGGCACGTTAAACCGTTAGCCTTGTCTCCTTCACTCTTCTTTCATCACAGGCATCCCAAGCTCACGTTACGAGTGTGGAACAGACCTTGTCAAGGTTTTGGAAGCCATCTTGACGAGCAGGAAACCGCGCGAGAAATTACAGTGTTTATATAAGAATCTAATGTCGAATAATTCCTGTAAAACGGCTGTTCTAAAATAAATATATACACCTTATTCGATGGTTTAGCATATAACACGTGCAGATATTTTGCGAGTTGCGTGTTATTTTTCCGAGCCCCGCAGGGGCGAGGAAAAATACCAGCAATGAGCAAAATGTCCCCTCGTATTATATGCTAAACCATGGAATAAGAGGTTTATTATTCCACTACAAAAAAAATTATCTGGCAATTAGCTTCTATTTTTTGGTAAGAGTATTCAGAGACATCCTGATTCTGTCTGTGAGAATGACGTTAACAATTAGCAAAATGTTCGCGCGTATTATATGCCAAACCATTGAATGAGAGGTTAATTATTTTACTGCAAAAGAAAATGGTATTTTGGCTTCTATTTTCTAATGAGAGTATCCAAAACATCCTGATTCTGTCAGCCACAGTTGCTCCTTTTGCATCCGCCGGTATTCGCCCTGTTGTAAACCGGTTAAACCAGGACACTACGGTGTATTACAGCCTCGTATTTTACTTGTTCTCTTGACCTTATATGGTAAAATGACATAATAGTGGAATAATAATAACCTGTAAACTAATGCTTCACTGATAATTAACGATTCTACTGAAAAAATTTGAGGGCGTTACATGCAGCTGCATGAGATAGAACTACTTTTTAAAATTTTCTATACATTTGCCTGAAAAAATTTTTCTTCCAGTCGACTAACATTTCCCGGGAAAAATTGAAGCCAAATATATGGAAAATCTAACGCAAGCGTCCTGAGAAATTTAAGCACAGTTACAGCCCCAAAAATTTGTTCGTAGAATCCTCTCTCGATCCATAAGGACGGGTAGGAGGGAACTCTGAGAAGAGTGGAAGAAGTTAACCCGGTGGGGTGGTGCTGGGTGGATTACAGTAGCTTAGTAAGCCCTCAAATGGACCAATAGCGGCTGCCAATGGCGCCTTTTCATGCTGTTGTCGGAGCCTACTGCTAACAAATAATGATTTAGATATATAATGAAAAGAGGACCCGTCTGTTGTCCGTTTCTGAGCCGCGACATATTTCATTCATTCATTTCATGTATAAAGTGCAGGAGTAAGACGTTTTATTTAGTAATAGTTTTTACTGTGAAGTGTGAGAGAAAATAACTATCCCAACTTATAAATTCGCCTATTCACCTCCCATGTTGTGGTCTAAAATGACCAAAAATGACGACAAGAAATCCCCGCTTTTAAAAATAACTTGGCAACAACGCTTTTACCTGAACGGGGTCCCCGCTTTTACGAGCTCTTGCGTTAAATTTCAAAAGGCCTCCAGATTCCTGCCAGAGAAAAATACATTTTTTTTCAAGAAAAAAAGAACTAAGAAAAAAGTATAAGGCAGTTCACTCTTGGAGAACCGATTAGATACAGCTAGTTAGTAATCTAGAATTTCACGGATTTTGGGTATGTATACTGTGTATACTTTGGTGAATAATTGGGCAATAGTTCCATAGCTTGAATAAGTGAAAAAGTTCTGCAGCAGTAGCTGAGGCTGGTATAAGACAATAAATTATTTAACGAAGGTGAATGGGGTTTCCGTTGCAGTTATGCAAAGAGAGCAAACGCAGTTATGAAACAGGATTGAAAGCGTGTTGACAACAATATAAGACTTTTGTTAAAAATCTACTGCAATGCGAAATAATGATAGTGCCTAGGCTTTTAAGGAGTTTAAGAAACATTCGCTTCTGTGAGATTTAGTCGCAACATCGCTAATACCCAAAAAAAAGTTTTATGTTTTTTTATATGTTATGGATGTACCTCTCTATCCAGAGCTTTTGCGACTGTAATAACACCAGTTGTGTTGTTTATATGAAACCAGTTCACATCGTTTTGGTTTGGAGATGCTCCCGGCTCGAGAAAATAATGCACACCGACGTGAGGTCCTGAAACTTGTACCGTTGTCACAATAGTACCTTAAAAAGACGAATGAAAGATAACTGAGATAGATTCTAGATGAATCACAAACCTAAAGGAGGACTTTAGGTTTATAAGTTGAAACAAAAAACACATATTAATTGTAAAAGAAAACGATTTCTGTTTAGCCAGTGACCCATGGCCAGGAGACTCGGAAAAAAAGAGTTTCCGCTTCACCCAAAAGAAACCGAACCTGAAACCAACTAGTGCAAAATGGTGACAATATTACTTGCTTTATATTTATGTTAATTTAAAGACCCAGTACCTAGCCAGTAAGATCGGTAAAAGGTCGGATGCACATAGTTACAGCATGCACAAGGCATGATTACAATCTCCCTTTTGTAAAACTGCTACCGCTCAGCGTTCCTTCTGTCCTTTTTTAATCGTTCAATAGATATTTGGAACTCCCTTTGCTTAAACTCTAGAAACGGTGAATTGTAATGAATGATTTTAGCTTAGTTTTTTTTATGAATTAAGCTAATTATTATTCCTTTGGGAGATATATAGAGGATATTACACGGTGGCGAGGAGATATGAATTTTATGTTCGAGTGGCAAGAACAATATCTCACGAGTGAGCAAAGCGAACGAGTGAGATATTGTTCTTGCCACGAGAACATAAAATTCATATCTTCGAGCCAACGTGTAATGTTCTTTTTATTATATGGAGAAACCAATTCAACAAAAGCAAAAGGCGGGAATCGTGACGTCAGACGTCATTGAACGATACGACACTCACAAAGGTGACATACGGAAAATACGCCACTCGGGTCCCGGATGAAGTGGCGTATGGAATCTACGAGTGGTTTAGTTCCCAGTAAAACACTCTCCTTCATATAATAAAATGAAGTATTGTTGTTGTTACCCAATTACCCTGGCTCATTTCCATGCAAACGCAATTGAGGCAAACGGTGAGATGCCCATGTGGTATAGGAGTTAATATTAGGGATCTTTATATTAAGATCCGACGACGGCGACGGCAACAAGAACGGTAAAAATGGTAATAGGTTTCAAACCAACAACTCCGTACGTGCAGCACACTTTTTTTCTACATTTCTTTGCCGTAACAGAAGGACTACGACGTGAAAATGCCTAACTTTACGTTTCATGGAGAAAGTAAACAAGCCACGACAAAATTTTCTTTCTCTTTCTGAACTTGGATATGGTTCTTAGGAATTCAACTACAGGAGAGTTCGCCTACAATTGACAAAGTAAGCTCGTTGGAATAAACGCGATGAAGGTTCGAAGAACGCGAATTCACTTTTTAAACGACGTTTTCGCTGCTGTCTTCGTCCTCGGATCTTTAGGTCCATAATAATGTGTGAGTGATTTATCAAGAAAATCCACCACTTTTGTTAGGTTCCCTGTGTGCGTGTGTTTCATAATCTCGATACACAAGTATCACCTGTCATACTTTTGGACCCACTGCCTTAAAAAAAACACGATAATTATAACAGTGGCAATTTAAAACTACTTTAGGTACTGTGTACTGCGCCCCAAAACGGTAATATACCCGGCCCTCATTTCTTTATATTGAAGTCTCCTGCAAGAAACCCAAGGTTTCTGCAGTGGTTTTTCAAGCCTTAGTTTACATAACTTTAACATTAGCTTGATTAGTCACCAAAGAGTACTGGGGCCCACTCTTCTACTGGGGTACGAGCTGGGTGTACCCATCTGCGCAGGCGATAACTTGAAAAAAAAAATAGTGTGTTGGCACTGGTGAAGAACGGCTAACGCTCGGAACGTAACTTATCGTAGCAAACTGACGTAATCGACTCACTGATGAAACAGTTTATTTTGTGTGCAAACGCAGGTCTTAGCAATAGTAATTCTTACCAGGGGGGCTAGTTTCGTTCAGCGTCGGGGTTAACGGTATAAACTCGTCATTAAAGGAAACTCCTGTGAAGAAAGAACACGAGACAGTTACGTTTGTGATTTATAAAAAATACAGCCAAAAAGTCTCGATCCTTTTTATTATTTTCTCATTACTTTTTTCACTTATATCAAGCTGTCTTTCAGCTACTTTATGTACGATTTTATGGATATATTCGAACTCAGCTTCTGTGGAAAAGTGCCACCAAAACTAATTTAAGTCCACATATCTGTCGGTTTTCATAGGCCGCAGGTAATTTCAGTTTAACAATACTGCTCTTCGTTAATAAGCAATTAATGAATGAGGCTGAGTAGGATATGAAGAATTAAGCAGATGGAGGAGGGTGTTATCTACAGAGGCCGAAGGCCAAGGTAGATAACACCCCCCGAGATGGCTTAATTCTTCATATCCTACGAAAGCCGGATTCATTAATTGCTTTATTATTCATTCAAAATCATTCCTAGTTTAAAAACATAGCTAAAACAAGCTTACCTGCATCGATGTTAAGTTTATCTTCGATAGTGTACGTTTAGGTTTTTCCAGCTCAGCAAATATTCTCCAAATAGCAGATGCCGAGTTGTCTTCTTGCTGTTTTTGCTGTGTTTTTAGGCATTAGATCGCCTAGTTCCAGCTGTAGTTCTTGCTCTTGAAACGAGTGAAGTGTCCGCCATTTTAGTTTTTACAACGAAAACAACTCAACCTCGTCCCCAGGTCTTCTCGGTTAACGGTGCATTAACCTGTAGAAGGCTGCATTTTTGACGTCATTTCCTCGTTAAACACAAAATTCTTCCAAATTTGGTCATCAGTAAATGGTTATGGTGAATTATGCGGGTGCTTTTAACCAATCAGAATTGGGGAAATATTTTGAATGAATAATAATCCAGGATCAGATAATGCGACGCGGACAAAACGGAGTCTGTCATGATGAAAGCGGATTCTTGGTGCCTGCGAACCGTTACTGTTCCGATCCAGGCCTCAGGGTTCCGATTTCGACATAGCACTAGAAAAGATGAGGGTAATCTTTCGAAGCAGTAAGTGTGTATCTCATTGCTGCTAAGTGTTATGACGACCATGTCTTAAAATTCGTGATAAAAAAAAAACATTGAACAGGTTTAACCTTGTTGAAAGTTATTAAACAGTATTTTACTGTTGTTTAGAAGACTATACCGGCCCAAAGTCGGCACTAAGACATACAATTTGAAAGAAAATTTAGATTTACAACTGAAATTCGCTTGGAGCACATACAATGCGAATAAGTCCAAATTGGTATTATAACTGGACTCTGTTTGTAATTTACAAAATGAATCCACCGTACGCTGCAAATGCAGGTGTAGTATTTACAGTCTTTCTTTCTTCTTCCTTTGAAAAACTCCGTTTATGCAATTCATCAGAAGAACTCAGTCTCAGGATTAATTCCATTGATTTCTCTAAGCTCAAGAACAGTGTTTTAAAAGGACGAATAGAATTGAACTTCCAAGTCCTAACATCTTATAAGCTCAACTGATATATGAGTAATAGCGGTTAAGCTCTTCCATCAATTATTTAGTGTGCGGAAGTTAATGGTGGGAATTTAGTACAGCTCATTCGTCATAAGGTATGCAGCAACTTGACCAACCAATGCGAGAAAATATAAATTGAATAATCCTCTAACAATTGTTCTTTAGTTTCTGACATTTTGTACATTATCATTCATCTTATTAAGTGATATTTAATCAATTGGTAGGGGAAAAAACCTAGCAACAGTGCTAGATCTTCCGGCCTTTAATGCCTCTCTTATCTCTAGGTGAAGAGAGCATATTCAAGACCTTCATTCAAGTACTTCGGTTTAACCACGCTGAATGGAAATAAAAAACATCACAATATATTATGGAAATATAATTGAACAACAATAAAAAGTACTATCGATTTTCACTTCTCAAAAAAACCTTGGTTACTGTTAATGTTTCTCCAGAGTACACAAACTCAGTATGTACTCGTGAAATACGCAACTCAATTAACACAATACAATGAAACCAGTTTTAGTTAAGGATCGATATACGGTTTGCCGTCACAGTGAATCGTTGAGGATAATTTCGTAATATAGCATAAACAGATAATTTGAGTAAAACTGTTGCAATACTGACATATTGCTTACTGAAACATTTATAAAACTCTGAAAGGTCAGTGCAGGCGTACTCAATGTACAAAAGTTTTTAAAACACGAGTCGTAAAGATAAATGCATGAGCTTTTTGTTTTATGCTGAGTTGGTTTATTAACTTACCTTTGACAAAGCTTGCCATACAGGCTAATGAAAGCAAAAGTAGATTCCACTTCATGGCACTGACCCATGCAATGGCATCAAAGATGGCGCTTGAAGCGAGAACAATCCTGATAAGTAAATTAATCGATCGTCGTTTTACAAGCCAAGACGAACGTCTTAATCTTCATCGACCGCAGCAGGAGAAAAACATCTTTTTCTACGGATGAATTTTACATGATGGTTGAATTATTTAAACTTGATGATCACTGCTGAATGCTAATTTTGACTTGTTGCCGAGTGAGTGCTGTAATCTAGAAGCAGACGTAACGGCGGCTATACATAGTCTATATACGTGATCATCGACCCAAAATGAAATGAATAGCCGACAGGTTTAGGCTTGTGTTTTCGCACACTACATCGAAGATTATGCAAATCGTTGGTGGTTCTGCATGATCGCGAGAGCAAAGCTCGTTTGCGTTGCAAATATATCGTTAATGGCTCTCCAGGGCGACACTAGCCAAATTGACATCAGAACCACACAAAAGCCTGGTTTGACTTCCGTTTGTTTGCTCAGTCACATTCTATAGCAAATTCTATATTGCTAGGTCAATTCACCATGACCTTAAGGATCGATTTTTTACTGTCTTTTGACTGGGAAAGACCATAACGAGGCAGAGTTAAAAACAATAATTAGAAAATTAGGGGCCAAATATAAGTTTAAACTTTAGTCCTTTAGTATCTTCTGGATGTCTGTGGCTACGTTTTTTTTTTTTGCTTCGGCGGGCAACCACGAGAGCCGGTCGGTGCAGGTAACGTAAGGCCAACATGAGGGGGGGCGTTGGGATTTTTGGCCAACTTTTAGGTCCTTTTTTCGGTTTTTACACTGAAAAACTTCGCTTTTTCGGTTTTGTCGTCCGTTGCAGTTTCCGGTTTTCCGTTTTTTTCGCAAAAATAAAGGAGGCAAGATTCCTCTGTGGGTCTCTGTGCAGTCAGATGTTAGGCTATTTTATGTTTCTCAATTTTATAGTCAACCCAAGTCAAACTGCAATGTTGTCTGTGTCGGTAGACTGTCGACCGACAGTACACCGAGACGAACGACAGATTTTGGGGGAAACTGTTCTTCAATTTTACCGTTTGGTCTCTATGTTCCACAAATCACTAATAAGTTTGAGATCTAGACTAAGGTTTTGAAAATTGAGCTGTAAACTCTTCAGTTATGATGGCTTTGTATTCGGTTTTCGGTTTTGATCGAAATCTATCGCGGTTTTTCGGTTTTTTATGGACGCCAACGCCAAACATGTACTGGATCACTATCATGAAACAACCTGCGCTCAAGTCTCGAGCCATTAATACTATTTTTAAAGGGGATACAGATTCCTTTTGACTGCCACTGGTGGCCCAATGTGGTATGTACATAAATAAGGCAAACCGGAGTCCGACTCTGCATTCTATAACGATAAATCAGCTTTCCTATTCATTTAACTGAAACCTTCCATTTTCAGTAAGTTTCGTCCACTGGCTAGGGTTGTTTTCTCGCCGACATGGTTATTTTGAGATAGTTTGTGATGTCCTTTTTTGTTTGCTTGTTTGTTTTGTACATCCACCCATCTTCGCTGTTCTTTAAGTCTTGCACCGGGTAGTAATGTTGTTTTTTTTGCTATAGAAATCAATTGAAAAAAGCAAAGTCCAGAAAGTCAGTACATATCTACCTAATTTTTTTTCCTTATTTTCTATTTCTTCATTTAAGAATAAACAACTGCGCTGTAAAAAAAAATGGTGTTTATGAAGGAGAGGATGAAGAGGAAAAAAGTGTGGAGAGACACCACAAGAGTTGAGGCCGATTACGACAATAGCTACGACAACAGGAGTTTATACGCTAGTCTTTGGAATCAAGGGTAATACTTCTAAACTTGAAATCTTGAAAAAATTTAAACAGTATTGATTAAAAATAAAGTTGGTCACTGAGTTTAACCCATGTTAACCCGATCCGATGGTTTTAATTTGTGGAATGCCTTTCAGAAAGAAAAAACGCAAAAGCCATTTTATTACTACGAGAGATAGAAAACGTAAGATACTACATTCCTGTAGTGTACTGTTCTGGCAATGGCAGAATTTGTCCGTCCACATGAAAATTACTGAGCCTTCGGGGAACTGCTTCTTTCGGTACATAGTAGAGTATTATTTAGTTGTCCATAACGTTGTCCATAGCTGCTTTGCGTATTCGGATATCGGAAATGAATAGTCAACCCCGCTATTTTTCTGGCACTTTGTTTCTTTCTCTTTTGAATCCATTTTACTAGCGGGAATGATAGTTGTGGCACAAATTACGCAATCGAAAGTGGTACACCAATATGCGCATTTGAATATATTCATATAGATATTTGAATATATTCATATAGATATTTGCGCCGAATAAGTAATAAATTATTATTATTAATTATTATTATTAATATGGCCGACCGGAAATGGTATGACGTCACGTGAAAACGATCTAATGACGTTTCACTGCCCAGATCTGGGTAGTGCTTTTGATTGGTCGTGCGGCGAGGAAACTTTTTGCTTCAACCAATTAAATGCACTACCCAGATCTTATTCGGTGGCACGTCACCACGAGTATGCAGTTTCTGCAGTCTTTCCTGGACGTCATTTTGCGGAAAAACCAGTTGTGGCGTTGCAAATTACCGGCTGTTTCTTCTGGCATATATTGCATATACCGAACGAAGATGTTAGACCCAAAGTCAAAAGGTCTCTTACAAGAGATTGAAAGCAACAAAACTACCGTTTAGTTCTTTCCAGCGACTCCGCTTTTGTTTCTCTACTGAGGTAAATTTTTTTAGCACTGATACAAACCTGACATATTTATCTCCATTGCAATCAAATTAATTTTGCCCCATTACCGTGGTCCGGTGCTTGACATGAGTCACCACTGACTATTCGTACCTCTCTTAATAAATTAATAAAGCATTCAACTACATCTACGTGATCTCAGTATCTTACAGGAAAGTCATTAATTTTGACTATATAATAAAAACTTCAACTTTTCCGCGTTTCAAGTGAAGTGACTTATATTGCAAGACTTTTAAAAGATGCAAGATAGAATCAAACTAGTGTGCTCAATTTAATTATTTTAAGTAAATTTAAGAAAATACGAGAAAAAAAATTAATACTCTTTTGAATATATAATCGTTGTTGCCGGCATTTTATTTGCATGTCGGTGTTAGGCCAAGTGGAAAGGTCGTGAGAAGAGCAAGAATCGAACAGCTAGAAATAGACCAACATAAACGAGTTGCTAAGCAATGACAAGGAAATCATTTCTAGGTTTTCTAGGGGTAAAATGTTTGAATGAGGACATAAGACACAGTCAACGAGAATAAAATTAGTCAGGGCGAGAAGCGAACAATTTCATTAATTTTATTAAACTTAATCGTCACTACACTAGCAAAGAGAAATTCTAGACATTCAGGTCACAGTAGATTGAACATGGCACATGTCTTAGTGTACTCTACTCAGCCTGGTCCAGTTTATTGAAAGGTTGCACTGCGCGGCCCCCCTTCGTCTCTCTTTAGGGATGAATTATATGAGCTCTGATAAAAATTGCCTCCCGTACCGCCTTGCCTTGGACAAAGGTCACCAATTTTATTTTACACTATTTGAATTTTTGGATTCATTAAATTGTAAGATGATTTTTATTGACGACTAAAATCAAAAGTATCCACTCTACGTGTATGAAATTTGCCATGACGTGAAAAACCAATTTTGGCTCGTGAATCGAAACTCATTATGATCGATGGATGTTGCAAAAATAGTTTCAAAAAAAGAGCTCTTTGATGCCACATGACCGCCACCAAAAAGGGAGTGTATTATGCAAAAGATGAAAGAACCAGTTTTGTTTTCAACTTTGTCACCTTGCGATAGCAGCTACCAACAACAGCTTTACTAAAATGGAGGAAAAACAGAGAGTCGTAGAGATGAATTATATTGATCACGCTCTCTTAAGGGAATTTCTTTGTTGGCTTTTATTTCTTAAACTCAGAAGCCGCAAGGGAATCTGACACTCATACACTCGCAATACACGATCGTCTATGTCCTCTTTTAAAAGTTCTAGACTAGAAATACAAAACAATTCTTTCTCTCGGCTCGGAGTAAGGAATAAGCGGATACCAAGCTATATAACGGATCTTCCAAACAAAGCTTTCAAAAAGAGTTCTCCGCAAATTGCTATTTGATATCTTAGAAAAGGAGGATGACTATATTCAAATCCACATGATTATTAAAAAAGTAGGTACATAGATACACTTGCTCAAGGTTTTCATGTCTGCTTTTCTTTTTCTGTGTTATCATTTAAGAGTCAGGGACTCCTTGTCTTAATGTATTGTACGTCACTGTAAGCGCTGAGTTAATTAGATCACTTATTAACTTCTATGTTTTATTTATGTTTAGTTGCAATCTGCAAGGCTTTCTAATAGTTTAAGGTTTTTGTTTTTATCCAACTTTTGTATTTTTGTACAAAGAATAAAGTTGTTGCTGTTGTTCTTGTTGTTCTTTTTTGTTGTGGGAAATTATGTTCTCCACTCCTTTTTCAGTCTTGTTGATGTACGTGATAACCAAAAATATACGGAATACCAATCTACATTCATTTTTTTCCTGCATATCCACTTTAGTCAAGAGATATATGGGCAAGGAAATGTAAAAGGAATCACAGATTAAAACTGATATGTTTTTTCAGGGCGTACACTGATAAGATGCAGAGAGGGAGTGTACAGGTTCCTACTCAGTTATATCTAGATTGTCTGCGATATAACTTTTAGATTTCTAGTACCCCCGCCATGGATTGATTGCATGCTACAATCTAGTGAAGAGTGAATTAAGACAATAATCATATTTAAAATAGCCGCCTATTTGTAAAATAGTTATTTTTCAAGGTTCTCATTGGCTTCTCCATCCGCTGCCAAGTTGGATTATTGTTTTGACTAAGGTGCTGAGATCACGATTAACCGTGGGTTAGGATAAACACTGAGCTTTTAGCTGCCTTCCGACGGGAAAAAAAAAAGATGGTAATAATGCATTGTCCCTTGGAGATCCTATTGACGCAAGAAAGCGACACGTATAAATCAAAGCACAAAAGCTTTCTAAAAACATCTTCAGCCATTTCTCAAGGCCTTTAGGGCTTGTCTGACACGCCGAACTACATATTTTTAGGGCCAAGGACATGGTTTTGCATCAATACTTTGATTCCGCCCTCGGAATTATTTTTCAAATTTCAATTTTTCAAATTGTAAATTGTTGCTCAGGAGAAAAGGAAAACGAAACTTCGTTCTATGTCTCGTCTTATTTGGAAAAATTTTGAAATCAGGATCGAGCGTAGTCTATCATTAGTCTAATTCGGAAGCGATGTCTTATTTCACTCCGTGCACGGAAAGGCATTGGACTTAATGTTTGACTCGAAGCAAATACTATACATTAAAAAGCGGGCTGGATTTCTCCACAGAAACTAAAAAAGTCTACTAATAATCGAGAGAATCTTTTTTACTGGTTTGGCATGTTTGTACTGACCATTAAGAGTTTCCTTGCATTTTTGTGGAATGAAATAGGGGCTTCGGCAACATGATGGTTATGTATCAGGGTTTCACGACACATTGAAACAGCTGAAAAATTTGCTTCAGATATCACTTTTATTGCAATAGCAGTTACAGCATTTCATCATCACCTATACTATTTTCAAATTGACCAGAAAGGTTCAACGACAGTAGAATTGCTTTGACGAAGTGCTCAAGATCAAAAAAGGACAGACAATTCAGTTTACTCACAACAAAGTAAAATCATTCTCACTTACTGATAAAGAGAATTTGATCTGATAATAAAAATGTGTAGCTTAGGAACTGAAAACGTTGAATTAGACCCAGCCGTGTGTAAAATACTAGCAATATGCGCAACAGAATCACTGTTGCCGCTTTAATGTTCAAATTGTCTACCGTCCCTAAAAGTATAAAATAAACAATCTTAGTTAACTAAACTAACTACTGTTGGACTTGTTAATTTAGTGTTCTTTGACAGAGTTTCTTCCAGCCAAGTTATTGGTTGATATGTGCACGAATTCAGTGTACCCTCTTCTCCATTGAATAAATCGTCTAAGCCGCCTTGTAGATACCGAGTAACGATTCTGTTTGCCATAGTGCAAGATATATCGTGACGCTCACTATATTTTACTCTGTCCTCGTCATTCTCGCCAAATTAGGAGTTTAACTGCTTATTTGTTATTCTCCTCTACCATTTGCCTTGATACTTTTTGTGCCAACTCAATTGCATCTGCAACTTGCTTCTCGCCTTCTTTTCCGAACACTTTTTCGGCGGAATTCCTTGCAGAGCCTGGGGATTTCCTAGCTGAGCTGGAGCTTCCCCTCTTGTTGAGAAGAAAAGAACCCCATTTGCTGCGGGATTTGTCGATCGAAGTACTTTTTCTAAAGGTACTTAAGCTCAGTCCTTGTGTTGTGTCGGCACAGCAGCTCCTGGTCTTGGCGCAGCGCAAAAGTCGAGAAAATTCTCGACGAAACTCCGTGTTCACAATCGAATAGATAATAGGATTCACTGATGAATTCATGTTTAACAACAGTTTAATTATGCGATGAAGGATCGGCATATATTTTAAACGGTTGAAGGTTTCCTCTGGATTTTTTAAGAATAGTGACAATAAAGTAATAAAGCTGACTGGTGCCATACAGACTGCAAAAAAAATCACCACAGGAGCCAAGAGTCTCAGCGCCCGTCGATTCTGCCCAATCCTGGAGATGACCTCTGCACTACCTTTAGCTCTTAAACTAGCCCGCTTGTAACTGTCATGTCGACGAATGTTGTCTCTTAGTTTGGTTCTGATACGATAGTAGGTCAAGGAGATAAAAACAAGAGGGCATACGTAAAACGCCAATACGATTGTACCTTCGTACATCTTTCTGGACAACTGATTCGGCCAGCTTTCTTGGCAAATCCATATCCGTATTTTTGGAAAGCGTACCAGCTCCATAACAAAAAACTTGGGCATTACAAGGATAATAAAAGACAAAAGCCATATTAAAAACAGCACACGTTTGGCTGTTTGTAAGTTCATTTGTTGCTTCATACAGTATACTAGCATCCTATAACGATGAAACGCGATGGCGGTGATGCTGCCGATACCAACGCCATAAAATATGTCAGTGAATGGAAGGAAAGTTTTGCAAACGAACTCGCCAAATGGCCACGAAAGAGAAAACTCTTTACTCAGGTGGTGTGGGTAGACAATCAACAAGATGCCCAAATCAGCTATTGCGAGATTCAATATGAAGCGGTTGCCTACAATCTGCAAACTTCGTTTCCGCGAAGTGATGATGCAAACGAAGGCGTTTCCGACGCTGCCAACGAGAACGACGAGAATTTGCAATGAAAGAATAACAATTGTCATGGCACCAAAGCGATCTACTTGCAGAGTTGGATTTCGCGACGAATTGGTGAAGTTCTTGAGAAGAAAAGGCCCAGTGGAATTTGTTTCTACAACCGTTCCGTTCATGATCGAGCTGTCTTTGATATGAGGTATATTTACCGAATACTTATCTTTGGTCACAGCAGCATTGCTGGGTTCTTCCTCCCCCCAACGACTTTCATTAAGTACCAAACTCGACCCGATGGTGCATAAGCTTTCAACGAAATCATCTTCATGACAAGAAAATTTATTGCAAGACTTACAGGAAATATGATTTACATTCAGTGCGCTCAGTATCCTGTTTTTGTAATGCTTATATTTCTTCATTTAGAGAGATAAAGATATACCAAAAACATTTCAACCCTGGATCAATCGATAACTAAATCAAGACTTAATAAATAAAACAACTTCATTCAGACTATTGAAAACCGAAACGGTTGCTTTCTTTCCTCGTGTTCCTGTTCATTATTTCTTCTTTGAAAAAGCGAAAACCATCTGTCAAAAACTGCTATTTTGGGCATCAAGACCCAGAGCAGGTGGAATGAAGATAATCGAGTTTTTAGATTAATGTTGCCTGCACAGCAAGTCGAAAATAAAATTTTTGCATTTCATTTCAAGGCATTTACCGAGCTTATGAATAATGAAGACAGGAAATAAAAGATTTAAAGGGGGGCCATAAAAACGCTGAAGAATTTAACGTGAAAAATGTGGTTTGATAAAAAATTCATTTATGTTTACTTATAGCTTCCTGTCTGTAGTATTCATTTTACAAATTCGGACAAATTTGCTAAAAAGAGCATTTCTTATTATTAAAAAAAAGCAATTGCATTTAAAAACCTAACTTTTTTAAGACGGAAGTAATTGTATACGTTAAATGGTACCAAAATGTCAACAACAACGTCCATATATTCACAGTAATGAGCGCACCTTTAAGTTTTAATAATTAGTCAAAAGATAAACTTTCTCGTTTAGCTTTGGGCAAAACAGGACATAAATCGATTCTTATTCACGCGAACTGCTACTAAATTTAAATTTAAGCAAAAATCTCATTGAATCTATCTCTATCGTTTTTAAAAATTCGATCAACTCAGTAAAGCTTTAGAGAAACAGGTCTCAGTATCAAATACTGCACTAGGTTGTCCTATTTCCACTTGTCAGTAAGAAATAAAGGATTTATTAATCGTCCAATGAGGTCCCTTTCTATATATTCAAATCTTCTATTTAGCTGAATATAGCTATAGGAACTTATGGTTTGCAGGGACAAGATAGAAAAACGTCTATTATAAACATATGCGCAAAGACTATAACACCCACTTTTGATGATTTAATACGGAAAATAGTAAAACACTACATAAATAAATTCAGAAACAGAGACAGTCGAGCAATTTTTATAAACTTATACATATTCAGCCCTAAAAAAGTAAATATTAATATATCCATGAATTTAAAGAAATTGATCGCCAAAATTTCTTTCCATGTGTATTCGAACGCTTTTACCGCAGCTTGAGGCACAACTTACTGAGCCGGTTATTATTATTATTTTTTTTTTGTCCCAATGCTTCAAATACATCGCCCATAGTAAGTGAAATATTACATATAACTGGACCATTTTATTTACACTCGGGATATGTTTCGATTTTCTGTAAGCCCTCGGAAGATAATTTCACTATAATTTAAAATCGGTATCTCGTTTTCACACAATAGATTGTGTTGATTATGGGACAAAAAGTCACAATCGCATCACCTTGATTTCAAAGGCCGGCACTATAAATTACAAGCGATAAATGCAAATATTAATCCCGTACTAGCCTGAATTTTTTTTTTCAGGCTTTCTCTTTCGCAACTGCATAAGTTCCGTATGTAACTGCGATGATCTTCCTTCAAATAATTCTTCACTCCGCATATATTTTCATATATTGATTATTTCATCATCATCCTTTCCAATTTAACGACCTGTTCCCAGTTGGCTTTTTAGCTTAAATAATTGGTAGAGCGCTGCAAACTGTTTTGCATTTGAAATTATGAATATATGAAAATCATATATGTGAACTGCGGAGTGAAGAATTATTTGAAGGAAGATCATCGCACTTATTTTCCCAACTTATGCAGTTGCGAAAAGGATAGCCTGAAAAAAAAATTCGGGTTTGTACGGGATTCGAACCCTTGACCTCTGTGATACCGGTGCAATATTTGACTTGGCTAGTCTGATAACGATCGAGCTCCACTTCAATGCTTTACCCTGTTTTACTGCGATTGAAAACCCGCTACTTTTGAATCATTCGTCGAGGGGGAACTTTCATGTGAATGGCAGGATGTTTTACTGGAAAACTCAAATTAGGAAACCAATGTGGGTGTTGCTAAAACTATATTTAATAAGCTGTCCGCTTTTTAAAAGAAGAAAAGTCTAAAAAGAGCTCTATAGATTTTAATTGAGTCCAAGACGGCTTATTGATGCCAAGAGTGATCATTCCAGATCATCAACACGGTTGTGGGCGTTTTTATCTGTTTTCCTTTTATAATTATCTCTTCGCACAAAGCTCTGGCGACATCTGTATGAAAAAAATATATGCCTGCCCCCGCTCCTGAACGGCATATTCAGGATACTAAAATCTGAAATTACACCCCAAAAAGCGAGGAGAATTTCCACTCTTTTCACACAGGAGTCTAATCCCTTTGGATCATTTGTTTCTGTCTTTCTTCCGGACTGAAACTGAATATTGGATCAAACATTCTTTCAATTGGTAATATCGACTGAAATGTTTGATTCTTTGTTTTCAGAGAGAAAAGTCTGTTTTGCTGGTAAGCCAGCAAAAGTCTGCTAGAGAGTTTGGAGAGGAGAAAGGGCGTGACATTTTCAGTGATTGAGGTAAGTTCTCTTGATGTGAATTTTCGATCCCTGATGATCAAGATGTATTTTAGCCTTCTGCAAGGCGAAATCAAGAGTGGATCGAAAGAAAAGCAGTTTGTAAAAAGGAAACTCTTGATCGGAGCTAAAAGACTGAAAATCAAAAACGTTTAACAACGGTGCCACTTTCCTTCAAATGATCTTCCACTGAACCTTGAAAAATAGAAAAAATCTATGAATAAAAACAACTACTATAAAAGAAATATCACATACACTTATTTCTAATTTCATACACTTATTTCTTATTTCTATATTGTTTTTTTTTTCAATAGAAAGAAACGATTTAAAATACTTATGAATTTCCTATTTTCTTGTCTAGTTAATGAACAGTCACAGGAACTCTATACAAAGTCTTCAACAAAATATTCCGTTCTTGTGAAGGAAATAGCAAATAATAATGTCTATGCGGAATCTCTTTAATATGAAACGTAAATTGTAAAACACCTTGTTATCACTAATTAAAAACCCGCCCAGGCAAATTGTGTTTATTAGGGAAAGTGTAAAGCCCCCGCAATGTACACATCGTTATAGCGTCCATAAGTGGCACTCCTAATGTTAATTGTAGAGGTAGTTTTAGGTAGTTTTAAAACTGGAGGTGGTTACAAGCTAGTGTTTTGCATGCGCAACTGAAATTTTTGCCAGGTTTTTGAGGATCGTATATAAAAGTTTACGAAGTTGACTGTACCTGCGAGTTATATCATAACGCTGCCGGCGAAGAAAGTAGGGTGTTCAGAGCGTGTTCGTGCGGAGTCTTCGCAGGCCCTCTCGGTCAGTGCAGTTTCCTTACATATCTGCGATGATCACCGGACCGGGAAACTCACAAACTCGTTAGGACGTGACCCGAAAGGCATAGGCTGCGAGGAATAGACGTCTCTAAACTGTGTAGCCGGGGCGGTGAGCATGCCGAATGTAGGCTTAATTGTGTCCACAAGTTATGAAAAACTTTCTGAATCCGCCGCCGCTGTTGTGGCTGTTTATTAATTAATGAATGCTCAAAGGCGAATCCACTCTTTTCCCTGTGGTTTTAATCTTAAACTCAGTGCGTTTGTTGAATGAATTACAGTTTGAATGGTCATTTCAAATGGCTGGGCCACGCTGCACCTTCCAGCAGCAACTAGATAAGTAACCCACTAAAAGGTTCGGTTTCCTATTAGACTAAAAAGCAAATTCAAGAGGTAGATCCACCTCGTTTGTATAGTTTTATTGTGATCTTGTTGCGCAATTATTCGGCACCAAAACCGTTGGCTTCAATCTGCTTAGCTCTAACTTCTGACATTGTTCAGCTGCGTTTCGAGAAATAAATTGAAAGTAAAACTCACTCAAAACAATTTCCTGATAACAGACAACACCCTGGGTCGATTCCTCAATAGAATAGCTCGCCTCATGTAATGAAATCAAAATAGAATTGGATTCTGAATTCCACATCGTGGATTCCCGATTCCAGGTACTGAATTTCAGTCTTTTACAGTGGAATTTGGATTCTGGATTCTAATCGTTAGTGGGACTCCGGATTCCTTGGACTGTATTCAAAATTCCAAAGCCCAGGATTCCTGATTCCACTGGCAAAATATTCCCGGATTCCCTTACATGAGGCGAAATATAGCTCATTACTTCTTAGACGATATATCTGATATATGGTGCCCTCAGTTTTGCCGAGTTTCGTAAAGATTCTCGTTATGAAATTAAAGTTAGTGGTTACCTTCACACCGACAATTTTGTTCAAATTTTACAATTTGTGGTCAATTAAAGTTCTGAACAAATTATTTCATCTGAAAAAAAAAAGCACTGACAAAGACTGAATATTAAGAGGAAATGAAGTTTAGCGTTTTGACCCAAGAAGTAAGAGCATGCCTCCTGGATCCTCCTCGACGTGAATACGGCCTGGTCCGGAGATAGATGCTCTCTGTTGCTTCCCCAAAGGCTTGTTTCAGCAGGACAGTGAAGAAAATGCCAGATAATTGTGCGGGGACGCAGCGCTGCTTCACTTCACTGTGGATGTTCAAAGGGTCTGATCAGTTGAGCGTTAAAGAGCACAGTGCCCTTCATGTCCTCGATCGTGAAAGGATGATGCTGAGGAGCCTAGGTGGACATCCAGTCTTGGGCAGAATCTTGAATAGGCCGTCTCTGCCCATGCTTACCAGTTCGAAAGCCTTTGTGGGGTTTATGAAGGCTACGAAGAGTT